GGTCAGGAGATCGAGACCATCCTGGTCAACAGGTGAAACCTCGTCTCTACTAAAAACACACAAAAAAAATTAGCTGGGCATGGTGGCGCGTGCCTGTAATCCCAGCTACTCAGGAGGCTGAGGCAGGAGAATTGCCTGAACCCAGGAGGCGGAGGTTGCGGTGAGCCGAGATCGTGCCATTGCACTCCAGCCTGGGTAACAAGAGTGAAACTCCGTCTCAAAAAAAAAAAAAAAAAAAGAATATGTGGCAATATATACAATGGAATACTATGCAGCCATTAAAAAATGAGTTCATGTCCTTTGCAGGGACATCGATGAAGCTGGTCATCATCATTCTCAGCAAACTAACAGAGAAACAGAAAACCAAACACCACGTTATCACTCGTAAGGGGGAGTTGAACAATGAGAACACATGGACACGGGGAGGGGAACATCACACACCAGGGCCTGTTGAGGGGTGGGAGGCAAGCAAAGAGAAAGCACTAGGACAAATACCTAATGCATGTGGGGCTTAAAGCCTAGATGACAGGTTGATGGGTACAACAAACCACCATGATACATGTATACCAATGTAACAAACCTGCACATTCTTCACGTGTATCCCAGAACTTAAAGTTTAATAAAAAATAAAAAAATATATAACCATTACACATAAGGAGCTCAAACAACTCTATAGAAACAGATCTAATAATGATTTTTAAATAGGCAAAAGAATCAGACATTTCTCAAAAGAAGACATATGAATGGTAAACAGGCGTATACAAAAAGGTACTCGACATCAATGATCATCAATGAAATGGAAATCCAAACTACAAGGAGACATCACCTCACCCCAGTTAAAATGGCTTTTATACAAAAGACAGACAATAAGTAGCAAATGCTGGCAAGAATGTGGAAAAAAGAGAACCCTACCACACTTGGTGGGAATATAAATTAGTATAAGCACAACTTTGAGAACAGTATGGAGAGTCCTCAAAAAACTAAAAACAGAGCTACCACGTGTTCCAGCAATCTCACTGCTAGGTATGCATAGCTTAAATACACAAAATACAACTTACTGAAAATAAATAAATAAAAGGATAATTACATTTAAACTTGAGTTTTAAAGGTAAAACTCAAGAAGAAAGGGCAAATCAGGGCCCGGTGGGTAAGAAATTTTGGGGGCGATGGGTGTGTCCTTATCTTGATTGTGGGGATGGTTTCACAGGTATATACTTACATCAAAACTTACCAAATTGTACCCTTTAAATATGGGCCATTTATTATATGCCAATAACACCTCAAAAAAAAGTTGTTAAAAAAAAATCTTTTTAACTCCTAGATTTAAAAAACTATAAATTATTATTGGAAAGATATACGATGTTCATAAATTGGAAAACTAGATATTATAAAGATTTCAGTTCTCTTCAAATTGACCTGTAGAAACCATGTAATCTAATCACGATCCCAGATTTTTAATAATTTCATTTGCTGATTTCAAAATATATATGGAAATGCAAAAGGCAAAGAACACATAAGACAAGCTTGAAGAATATCATGAAAGGAATTACTCTATCCATATCACAACTATGGATAAGCAACAGTAATCAAGATAGTAGAATAATGGCACTTTGATAGACAAAAAACCCGGGGATCAAGGAGTCCAGAAACAAATGCTTGCACATACGAACAACTGATTTATAACAAAGATAGGACTGTAAAGTAGTGGGGAAAGAGTAGTCCTTTTAATAAATGGAACTGAATCAATTAAACTTTCATATAAAATGTATTTCTCCTAATTCATACCACAAGCAAATGCCAATTCCAAGTAAATATCACACCTAAATGTGAAAGGTAAAACCATAAACTTCTAAACAATTACATCAGAGAACATCTTTGTTATCTAAGTACAGGGAATGACTTCTTAAACAAATCAAAAAAGTACTAACCACAAAAGAAAAGATGGAAAATTAAACTGGATTAAAATTCGATGGAAGGTCCCATTAAGAACATTTTGAAAACTGAAAGAAATAGCTGCAAGATGGGAGATGGTATGTGCAATACCCAAAACTGACAAAGTGCTCATATAGAAAATAATATAGGCCAGGCATGGTGGCTCACGACTGTAATCCCAACACTCTGGGAGGCCAAGGTGGGCTGATCACCTGAGTTCAGGAGTTCAAGACCAGCCTGGTCAACATAGCGAAACCTCATCTCCACTAAAACTACAAAAAAATTAGCTGGGCGTGATAGTGCACGCCTGTAATCCCAGCTACTCAAGAGGCTGAGGCAGAAGAATCACTTAAACTCAGAAGGTGGAAGTTGCAGTGAACTGAGATCATGCCATTGCACTCCAGTCTGTATGACAAGAGTGAAACTCTATCTCAGAAAAAAAAAGAAAAAGAAAATATATAAAGACCTCCTACAAAACAAAAACAAAAAGACAATCAACCCAATTGAAAAGTGGACCAAAGATGCAAACTGGCCTTTCAAACAAGAAAATAACCAACAGCCTACAAACATATAAAAATATGTTTATCAAAAAAAATATATATATATATGTTTATCATCAGTAGTAATCATGAAATGCCAAAGAAAACCAAAATGTGATACCATAAACATCTATCATAATGGCCATTATTAAAAGGACAAATAATAGCAAGTGTTGGAAAGAACAGCAACATGCATTCTCATACACTGTTATTGGGAGTGTAAATTAGTGCAACCACTTGGGAAATCTATTTTCTGGTGTCTACAGAATTTGAAGGCATCTAGGATCTGCACTCCATGTTATATACCATCAGAAATGCATGCACATGTAAACTAAATATTGAATAAGAGTGGTCATAGCAGTATTATCCATAATAGCCCCAAATTTAAAATAATCCAACTGTCTGTAGCTATTGAATGTTAAAATATATTGCCATATAGTCACACAATGGAATACCAAGGAACAATAAAAATGAGCCAAATGCAAGAATCTGACACAAAACCCATAAATATTATAATCCTAATGATTAGCAAAAGAAGTCAGAGACCAAAGAAACATGTCCTATATGGTCCCATTAATACAATGAGTTCAAAATGGGAAATTATAGGGTTAAAAGCCAAAATAGTGATTACCTTTAGAAAACAAGGAGGAATTGGTAATTGGAAAGAGAAATGAGAAGTTTTCTTGGATGCTAGTAATATACCATTTCCACATCTGGGATGTGATTAAATAGGCATGTTCAACTCATGATAATTCATCAAGCTATACCACTGATGCATGTATTTTCTTTATGTATACCTCCAAATTTTAAAAATTAAAAACAAGAATAAAAGAAGATAAAGCTTCGGCAGTTTCCCTTGTCACGTAACAGGTTCCACTCTCAAATTTATGAGACAGAATATTACTTAGGAAGTTAAAGAGGACTTTAGAGCAGCATGCTTAAATGTGTACTTCAGCTCTTATTTAGTATGTAAAGCAGACAATAGCACAGATTTCGTGCCGTGTGAACTACTGCAATTAACTACGAAAAGCACCAATCTGTTAATCTCAGAAAAGACCTTTTCTTGAAGTATGTGATGTTTTAGATATTTTCGACTGGTACAATTTAAATTGAAGGTGTCCTTCGTAGGCCAGAAAAAATCTACAACTTTATGCAAAAAAAGAAATATAATCTATCTTGACATCACACATTAGCTACCACATTGCCATACATTAATTGTAAAGATGTTGTCTACTTCAGCAGAAAAGTATTGTATCTTCACCTTTCAAAGGCTCTTCACAAAATGCTTAATACCAAAACCACAGAAGAAAAGTACTTTTATGTAGCCAAGTGTTTATTCATATTTTTGAAATAGGTAAATTTCACTACAAGAGAAATTTTCAAATATCTTATTTTCAAAAAGATCAACTAAGTTGCACACTAGATATTGACCAAGAGTGGTCATCACAGTATTATCCACAGTAGCCCCAAATTTAAAATAATCCAACTATCTGTAGCTATAGAAAATTCAAATATATTGCCATATATCCATACACCAGAATACCAAAGAACAATAAAGATGAACAAAATGCAACTAAGTTGATCTTTTTGAAAATAGGGTATACCCATCTCTTAGCACATGCAGCCAATAAATTCAAACTCCAAAATGAACTCAACATATCCATGTAAGGAACTATAAACAAATTAACAACTGGAGAAAAATTATCCACTTTTACTAGAAAATTTTCAATTTGAATAAAATATATTAAGAAAAAAATCCTGCTAACTTTCCTTATCTTGAAAAAAAAAAAAGGTATTACGAGAAATGAATACACAAATAAATACACTCCTGAAGTTGACAAATTTGCAACCGTTTAGGGACCATTAACAGTTTTCTCCTAAAAAGAAAAACTGATGATATAAAGAAATGAACACTATATGGATTCTATTTTTTTGCTTTAATTCCACCAAGGATGGTGATTTGATAAAAATAAATCACTGAACAATGAGTGTCAACAATATGACTCTGAAATAATAAAGCTTGGGAATTAGGAGTATTTTCAACTGGAACCCTATCAGACAAAAACAGACAGCAAAGAGGTCTTTGTAGCAATTATAACTTACACACGTGAGATGACCTGAAAATGGGCAGTGCCACAAAACCACTGTGAAAAGCATTCTGCATTCCTCAAATATCATTTAATAAAAACTATGGAAAAATCACAGAGCCAGGAAAACTTAAATTATCTTTCAAATAGTCATGATAAACTCAAACAGTTAAAACAAATGTTGACTCTATCTCTAGTATGCTAATACTGTAATGTATTTCCCTAAATATAAATACCAAATAAATATACATAAACATAAAAATACCAAATATAAATAGCCAAAATTCACGAACATTTTATAAGAGCTACAAGAACATACTTTTAGACAACATGGGACACATCGCCCAAAAGGTTAAAATCTACTAAACTTCATTGTAATTATGACCAGCCCACCTACCCCCTATGTATGAAATAAAACTTTTTATTGAAAAAGAGGTCTCACCACTTCTTGTTTCTGGGCTTCATTAAGTTTTTCAGTCAATTCTTCCAAAGCCCTTTTTGTTTCAGCATCCGACCTCAGCCAAAAAGAAAAAAAAGATTTTTACTTGGATATTTAGAAAATGTACAGAACTAGTGAAATGTATAACATGACAATTATGTTATTACAAAACATTCTATTCTAGTGCTTCTCAAATGTTATAAACATCTGAAACACCTGGAAGGCTTGTTAAAACAGACTCCTGAATCCCTCCCTCCGCCCCCAAATTTCAAATCAGCAAATCTCAGATGAGGAGCAAGAATGTGCCTTCCTAAAATCCCTAAGTGATGCAGGAATAGAGGTCTGGAGGTCTGGAGACCAAACTCTGAGAACCACCACTACACTGGAACGTCACCCTCAATAAACAAACATGTTGCAATATCTCCCATTTTAAATTAAGAAAAAAGAAAGAGAAAGGGACAACAGAGAACAAAACCTCTTGATCTTACACCCTCTTTCTAGCAATTCATAAAGAAATTATCTCCGAGTGTGCTGTACAAACTCTATCCTCACTAACCTCCCATTACTTTGTTTCTCATCAAATTAATAACATACATGATAAACAAAATAGTACAGAAACATTTACAAAGAAAAGAAAAAGCCTTTCTTTCTTGCACTGTCTTACTTCTGGCTACCCTTCCCTTCAGGAACCACGCACAACTATTCCCATTATTAATTATTTTGCTGGTTACCTTCATCATGTTCAACACGAGACATTTTCGATTGACTCTTTTGAAATATTTAGCTCATTCTCTAATTTCAGATTATGTTATTACTACTTTTAGTTCTGTTGGTTACCTGCAGAGCTTTACGTAATGTATTTACACATCTTATGAATTTTATGAATTATTCCATCCTATGAAATTGATAGAATTGATGTTTTGTGCTCACATTTTAGTCAGCTTCACACTTGGATCATAACTTCCTTGTGCTTTTGTTTTTTCCATGCTTTCTCATTATCTTTTGGCTTTATATGTGCCTTACTTATCACATCATTGATATTTTCCTCCCACTTCTTACTGAATGGTCAACAAACCATCTATTTCATTCTTTTTGACAACCTTCTTCTCAAAGGACACTTACTTTCCTGCTCTAATTTACAGTGAATACTTCCTGGCCCTGTTCCACGATTGTCATTCCAGGGTTACTTTTCCTGAATCTTCAGGTTAATTTTACTGTTTCTTAAAAACTTTGTGTTTTTATTTCTTGGTTACAACCTTATCTTACTTATATATCCTTAGGTAATTTCCTGGAAAAAAAAAAAGGTACCTTAAAATGGTAAATTTTTGAAGACTTTACACCTCTGAAAATGTCTTTATTCTTACCCCTTTCTTGGCTTTTGTGGTTCTATGCTCTCTGGAATTACCCCCATCTCATTAGCTATTCCGTCTCAGGCCAGCTCCTCCTTCTATCATAAGACTCCTAGATATTGTAACTCCTTGGAACTCAGTCTTGTCCTTGATATCCTTCCTATAGTTTCTCTCTTGGTATTATCCATTCCCATGGCTCCAAATGACACTTCTACATGCTGACCACTCTTAAAATTTACCTTTTACAGACTTTTCCTTTGAGCACCATAGTAAATATCTAGCTGAATATTTTACTTTCCATCTGAATGTCTCACAGGCATTTCAAACATAACATATCCAAGGCCAAACTCTCTGCTCCTCACCTACCCAAACCAGTCTTCGAGATCACAGGAAGCGGAATTACCATCTACCTAGTTACTCAAATTGAAAATCTTAGCATCATCCTTAGTTGATTCTCCCTCACCCACCATATCCAATCTATTACTAAATCCTATCTCTTTGATTTCCAAAAGCCGTATCTTGAAACACACCCCTGTCCGTCTCTCTCTTGCCATAATCCTGGATCAGGCCATTATCAACTCTTACATGCTAGTGCAACATACTTCTACCTTGCCCTCCTCAAATCAATTTTTTTTTTCCTTTGTGATAGGTTTCACTCTGATACCCAGGCAGGAGTGCAGTGGCACATCTCAGCTCACTGCAGCTTCAACCTCCTGAGCTCAAACAATTCTCCCACCTCAGCCTCCCAAGTAGCTGGGACCACAGGCATGTGCCACCACACCCAGCTGATTTTTTTGGTATTTTTGTTAGAGACAGAGTTTCACCATGTTACCCAGGCTGGTCTCAAACTCCTGAGTTCAAATGATCCACCTGCCTTAGCCTCACAAAGTGCTGGGATTATAGGCCTGAGCCACTGTGACCAGCCCGATCAATTCTTCATATAGCATCCAAAGTAGGTGATTTCTGAACTAAACTTTACTTAATACTTTCCAAAAGTAGGTGATTTCTGAATTAAACTTTACTGAATCCTTTCCAAAAGTTTGCTTCCAAGTATACTTTTATTATTCAATGTACATTTTGTAATAAACATCAAAAATGAAAAATTAGTGAGAATTAATAAGAATTAGAATACCAATCTTTCAACATCAAATAGAAAGTTAAACTTTTTAACTTCCTGTCCATTATTTTTATAAACATGAAGAATTTATGATACAGGAAAGCAGTACTGGATCCAGAAATTTTACACATTCACAAAGGTAAGCCACCTCATTTCCCAAGAAACCCAACTCCCATTTTCGGTTAAACAAAGGGTTCTGCCTCACACATGCCTCTAAGTCACAAAGACGATTACCAGATACTAAGAGCCCAGTCCAATACTGCTCATTCAAATGGCCATTTAAACTGATTAACTAAATCATCCCTGCAACTTCCCCTGTATCTTCTTACAAAATACTATACAAGCACTGTAACTGATGTTCCCAGTGCTTAATTTATATCCTTCCTTGAAATGGGTAGAGATTATGTAATAAAACCATTTGTATAATAAAGTGTTAATGTCATTCTGTTAATTTTATCAACTTGTAAAAAAAAAAAAAACTAAATATTAAATTAACTAAGTCTCACCAGTTTAAAAGATTAGCAATATAGCTCAATAATGTATCTCACAATCCAGGAATTTAAATGCTTTATTCACATCAGCCACATGTGAAAATGATTCTGAACCACCATACACCGTAAGTGAAAAAGAGCAGAGACTTTGGGGCCTCACTGTCTAGATTTTAATTCTGACTCCACTATAACCTTCCTGTTTGATTTCTAGCAAGCTGAGTTATTTCATCTCTCTGTGCCCATTTCCTCATCCATAAAATGGAGAAAAAATAATGATTACCTCAAATGATAGTTGCTAGAATTAAAGTCAAATCATGAAATAAGGGCTCAATAATATTAGCTAATAGCAGTAGTGATAATGATGACATCTTTCATTCTTATTACAGCCTATACTTGATATTCACAGATTTAACATTTAGAATTTTGACGATTTTTGTTGCAGCAACACAGAACTGGTGCATGGTATGATTTAGGTAGCTGGAGTCAGCAAGCAAACATGGCATACAAATTTCAATTCAGCTTTATTGCTCCCTAACCTTTGCTGCATATGGATTGTGATTCTTAAAAAGGCATAAAATTCTTTGTTTTTTAGCAAAACATAGCCTCCAAAAGAAAGCCACCTGCCACTGGTGATGACAAAAATGAAAAGACAGTAAATAAGTTTTAAATTACATAATAGCTGCTGGGGACTATCCAGAATTGACAAAATTGCAAAGATGTTCACCATTGACCCTCAGAGATTTCAACTAAAAGCTAAAGTCTTGGATTCTACAATGGCTTTTGTCCATTGACAAACTCCATGTTACACTGCTTTTTTTGTGTGCAGTGCCAAAAGTCAGTCAGCTAGTGAGTCAGTCTTTCTCTCTCTCCAATGTATTTGCAAATCTACCTGTTTGCGAAAGCCTCACAATATATCCCTCCATAATGTCAGCATTCCATTGTATTAAGTTAAAGTGTTTTTAGAAATAGGAAATTAATTTGTCTAACACTGAGTCATGATATATTCTAAATTCAAAGGGTTGTAAACTGTTCTGTTAATAAATTTTAAGATACTGTATAAAAAAAGTTTTTTAAAAAATCTACATAAATATATCAATTACAGAAGCTAACTTATTCTCCTCATAATTTATCCCTCTCATAAAAACCATAATCTGCTTTTACCGGCTCCTTCTGGAAAGCTCCCTGTTGAAATCATCTCCAAGGCGAATTTGTTCACTGCTGAGGTCTCGAAGAGACTGATGAAAAGCATGAAGCTAGCAAAAGCAAAACAAAGTTATCCATTTAGAATTCTGTTGAATTCTTCCATGAAGATTCACCAAAGGTAAGAATAAGATCTTGTTCTTTGCAATAACAATCAGATTCTATAATATTATTATGAAAAAATAAAATGTCTGTTTTGAAAGAAAAAAATTTTCCAACAAAAACAAATTTTTAAAAGCTGTATATAACATTTACCATCATATGTTCTACAGTACAACTCTACTGTCCCAGAATTCTACCCCTCTAGAAGAGGTCTGCTTCCTCCTTAGTCAGAGTAAAAGAAAAAGAAAAAAAAAAGAGAGAGAGAGAAAGAAAGAGAAAAGGGATCTGCCAGCTTTTTCTATAAAGGGACCAACAGTGACCATTCCAGGTTTATAAGGTGTATGGTCTCTGTCACAGTTAATTCTGCCACTGCAGTGCAAAAGTAGCTGTATACAAATAAGCATGGCTGAATTACAATAAAACTTTATTCTATCAGCCTACAATGCCTCAGTTTGCCAACCCCTGCTGTAGAGAAACTCTTGCCCATGTACACTTGAAACCACGTACAAGAAAATATGGTGCAGCATTATTCATAATGAGAACACGAGAAACAAACCAAATGTACACCAAGGTAAATAGTGGTATATTCCCCCACTGCAGTATCACATAACAGTGAAAATGAAACAATCAAAGATACCTACACATTAGTAAAGTTGAATGTCAAAAACATAACTTCAAATAAAATAAGCAAGTTACAAAAGACTACAGTAGTATCCTATTTATGTAAAGTTTAAAGGCAAGTAACACTAAACAAGATGTAGGTAGTAAAAATAATATTTTTTTAAAAAAAAAGCAGAAACAATGTCAGGATAAGAATAAAGTCAGGATGGTGGATACCCCTTGGGAAAAGAAGGAGTATAAAAGAGGGCTGGGGGTATAGTAGTGCTTTATTTAGTGGCCTGGGTGGGGGTTATATGGTGTTCATTCTCATTATTGGACCTTTAACTGTAAATACCATATGCAGAATATAAATACTATTATAAAAATATGTTAAACAGACTTGCAAAAACAACAAATTGATTCATTTCAACAAATGCACATTAAGCAATTTATCAGTGCCATCTACTGAGAGGTGGCTTACAATCTGATATGAGAGCCAGATATGTAAACAAACCCCAAATTCTTTACGGGGGCTTCAAGAAAGTACAAAGTCAAGTGGAGCTAAGAGTAACCTTGAGAATGAACTTAATGAGGAAGAACCATAAAAAGAAAGGAGTTAAGTAGTATAGTGAATGAAAAACTTCAGTTTTGCCACGATTTTCCAATTTAGCAAACCAGAATCCTGGGATGCATTTGACACCTGCTTTTCATTCATTCCTGCCTTCCCCACATGGCTATCTAATTTACAAGCCCTTTCCATTTTCTCAACTAAATAGCTTTTAATTTTACCTCCTTCTCTCCAACTCAATCTATCCTAATCCAGGTGACCATCAATTCATACCCAGAACACAGCAATATCCTTCTAATTGGCTCACCCACATTGACTCCATTTTCCACACTACAGCCAGAGTGATCTTTTCAAAATAATTTTATCAGCCCTCTTACATGGCTCTACATGATGTCAGCCCTTCATAATTCTTTAGCCTTGTGGGCCTTCTTTAAATTGCTCATAGGGGCTATCTTCCCTCCTGCCAAGCTTGTTCTACCTGGAATGACTCTTACTCGTCATTCTTACTCAACTTTCAGATGTCTGCTCAGTCAGCCTTTCTTCAGAAAGCCCTCCTTGACTGGGGCTTATTCTCTACCAAAAACTTCTGTAGCCCTATGCATCTTTCCACTATAGCATGCATCTCAGTTCATCATTAAGGTTGTATTTATGTATTTATTTGATTAATAGCTAGCTCCTCTTCTAGATTACAAACTTATTAAAAGACAAGGTTTCTGCTCATCACTGTTTCTAAGCATAAGCATTATCCCAATGACAGAGATAGTAAATAAACAGAAGGAAAGAGTAAATGAATACTATTAAGATACTGTTCTCTGTTCTGGGCTTTATCATATAGTCCATGCTAGCAAGGCGCAACTATCAAAAAAATCACATAGTCAAAGAAAAGTTTCCACAAGTTGTTTTCTAATGCATTTGATATTTGATTTTGTTGTCTCTTTATGCAGTAACAAATGATGGCTACAGGTGAGTATCTTAAAATACACTTTAAGGACCTAATCCTAAAACTACCAAAACAAAGGTATCAAAGGGCAGAACTCTCCCTAACCCTTTTCTATTTAATTTAGCTACTTAAGACAACAAAAGGAAAAATTATAGCTCTGCAGAGAACTCTAAAGAAGCAGAAAATATCTCCACACAACTAATATTTCAGAAATTTTTAGTGAATAAAGTATGAAATTTGTAACTTAATAGAAAATGGCTCTATCAATGATTCAACAATCAGAAAAACACTAATGGTAAAAAAACCAGTAACCACACAAAATAACCACACAAAGATTAACTTGTTCATACTAAACCAAATTTAGTAAAATAGAAAACAGCTGACCTTAGCATGGCTTAAAGAAAAATGAGCTAAACAAGAAAGGAAACAAAACATGTCCAATTAAGCTCACTTTTAAATGTTCTACAAGATATACGCCTCCGTAACAAAACTCAAAATGAAGATGATTTGTACATTGAAAATAATCTAGTTTACTTGAAAAATCCTATATTAACAATCTTATATTCACATGGAATGACAAAAGCTCCCAAATGGCCAAAACAATCCTAAGCGAAAAGAACAAAGCTGGAGGCAGCACACTCCCTAATTTTGAAACATTATAAAGTGATTGTAATCAAAACAGCATGGTGCTGGCATAAAAACAGATACATCAACCTATGAACAGAGGAGAAAACCCAGAAATAAACCTAAACATTCATGGCCAACCGATTTTTTTATGAAGATACCAAGAACACACAAAGGGGAAGGCACAAGCTCTTCAATAAATTGTGTTGGCAAAACTGCATATACATCCAGAAGAATGAAATTAGGCCCTTATCTTACAACACACATAAAAATCAACTCAAAATGGATGAAACATTTAAATATAAGTTTTGAAAATGTAAAACCACTAGAAGAAAACATAGGAGAAAATCTCCATGACTTCAGTTTAGGCAATGATTTCCTGGATATGACCCCAAAAGCACAAGCAATAAAAGCAAAAATAGGCAAATGGGATGACATCAAACTATAAAGCTTCTGCATAGCAAAGGAAACAATTAACAAAGTGAAGAGACAATCCACAGGATGGGAGAAATATCTGCAAACCATATATCTAACAACTGCTAATATCCAAAATATGAAAGGAACTCCAACAACTCAATAGCAAAAAAAAGAAAAAACATTAAAAATGGGCAAAGGACCTGAACAGGCATTTCTCAAAAGAAGATACACACATGGTCAATAGGTACATTTATTAAAATATTTTTTAAAAATATTTTAAAATATCAGTAAACTTTAGGAAAAAACAAATTAAAACCACAATGAGATATCACCTCACACATGTTAGAATGGCTTTTATCAAAAAGATGAAAGATAAGTGTTGCAGAGGATGTGGAGGACAGGGACCCCCTGGGCCCTGTTGGTGAGAATGTAAATTAGTACAGCCATTATGGAAAACTGTACGGAGGGTCTTCAAAGACTAAAAACAGGACTACCATATGACCCATTAATCCCATTTCTGGATGTATACCCAAAGCTACTGAAATCAATATGTCAAAGGGATATCTGCACTCTAGTGTTTAATTTCAGCATTATTCACAATAGCCAAGATCTGCAAACAAGCTAAGTGTGTATCAGTGGATGAATAAAGAAAATGTAGCATATATACACAATGCAATACTATTCAGCCTTTAAAAAGGGAGAAATCCTGTCATTTGCAAAAACATGGATGAATCTGAAGACATCATGTTAAGTAAAAAAGGTTAGGCACAGAAAGACAAATACCATATGATGCTACTTGTGTATGAATTCTAATAAAGTTGAACTCACAGAAATATAGGGTAGAATAATGTTTACCAGAGGGTGGTGGGTAGAGGGGGTAAAAAGGGAGAGAAAGGGGAGATGTTGATCAAACAGTCCAAAGTTTCAGAACGACAGGAGGAATAGGTTTTGAGATTTATTGCACACCAGGGTGACCAGTGTCAATAATATATTACATATTTCAAAAAACTGAGAGAATAAATTTCAAATGTCTCACCATAAAAAAATGAGAGATAAAGAAGGTGACTAATGTTAATTAGCTTGATTTAATCATGCCACATTGTATACATATATTAAAACATCATATTATATCCCATAAATGTATACAACTATGATTTTTCAATAAGAAAAAAATAATAAAAAGTAAAAGCAGTTTACTTGGTTCAAAAAAAAAAGATATCAATGAACACTGTTTACAATAGCAAAGACCTGGAACCAACCCAAATGCCCATCGACGATAGACTGGATAGGGAAAATGTGGCACATATACACCATGGAATATTATGCAGCCATCAGAAACGATGAGTTTGGGTCCTTTGTAGGGACATGGATGAACCTGGAAACCATCATTCTCAGCAAACTGACAGAAGAGCAGAAGATCAAACACCGCATGTTCTCACTCATAGGCGGGTGTTGAACTATGAGAACACATGGACACAGGGAGGGGAGCACTACACACTGGGGTCAGTTGGGGGGAAATAGGGGAGGGAGGGCGGGGGGTGGGAAGCTGGGGAGAGATAGCAAGGGGAGAAATGCCAGATGTAGGTGATGGGGAGGAAGGCAGCAAATCACACTGCCACGTGTGTTCCTATGCAACAATTTTGCATGTTCTTCACATGTACCCCAAAATGTAAAATGTAATAAAATAAATAAATGGGAAAAAAAAAAAAAAAAAAAAAATCTACATTGGAAAGTTAACAATAAAAAAAAAAAAAAAGATATCAGTATAAAGTTACTAATGATCAAATTCTTGGTTAAAATATAGCCTTAAAGTTCAAGTGCTAGTCATTTATATATAATGGAAACATAAGGAAATGCTGCACACATATTACAAAATGGTACAAAGTACCTGAGCCATTTCATCAGTCTCTTGAACAAACCGGACACCAGCCCTGGCTCTCATTCGTTTGATACCCTGTGGATCTCCATAGTCCTTGAGCGTTGAGGTAGGTGGAAAACGATGGCTCTCTTTGAGAGTGAAAGAAAAGGAAAGGGATTAAAACATTGCATGAGAAGGATTAAAACATTGCATGAGAAGAGACAATCTAAAATTTTACTCAATACAAACATGGTAGACATGGGTATACATATACAAATGTCCCTGACCCAGACTATTTCCCAAGAATCTTGCTGTGGCCACAAAGTTCCACCAAATTTGCGTTAATCTTATTCTTAAAGCAGATTAAACGAACAACAGAAATAACCTGGAAATAGAACACTCAAAAGTTTCAATTTGCTATACTTTCCAAAGAAACAATATATTTTCTTATATAAAAACAATAAATTGCGAAATAAAAAACTTTTATGACTCCTTAATATAACTTAATACTAAAAAACACAATTTTTCAAACTACCTAGTCTACAATTTGAAGAGCATATGAAAATAAAAACCAACTACATGAAAAAGAATAGTGCTCAACTTTTAATCATTGTTATAATCAATGGTAATATTAACAATGTAAGGTACCAGTGTTCAATTATCTAAATCATCTCCCTTCACTGCAGGCTTTTTGATTCAAACATGAATCTCTGTGCTATAGAAAAGTATAATAAGATTAATTAAGACAAACTGTTATAACCTTTAAGCTAGCCATGCATATCTAGCTGCATGCCAGTACTAAAATTCACCAGGTCTTAACAAGTATCACAGGATATTTCATAAGACATGCGAAAAACTATTATGCTAAGACAAGATACCTAACCTAAAATGTGTATCACATAGCAAATCTTAGTTATGTATTTGTTTTGATTCTTTGGTAGCAGATAATTAAATCCAAGTTTTTGTCAGGTAAGCTGTAATGTGGTCTACAGAGTCTGAGAGAAAAAAAAAATGTAACAACAAAGATCCTTTAATATATTTCCAATTATGTATTACAAAATGCTTGACAACTACATGTTCTATCATCCAACCTGCATGAAGTTACGTGTGGGTTGTATTTCTCCAAAAAATTAAATGTACTCAATATAGACTTCAAAAATATTTTTAAAATGAAAAATGTTTTTCAGAACATCTGAAGTGTTTACCTGGCCCAGTGCCACCATCAAGGTCACTTGCACTCAAACTTGTAACAGAAATACTTCCCCCTCCTGAGTTTCTCAATAAACGTTGACTCCGCAGTTGGTCGATTGATTGTTCCAAGCTTTCTTTTAACTAATTTAAAGAATATAATGAAAGAAGCATTATTCTTCTTAAACAACTTCCAAATACAAACATATCACAGACTTTCAAAGCTATTTCTGAAATATCTGGGTTCCCCCGCCAAAAAAACATTTGTATCAGAGAAAATTTTAAACCAAGCTGTGTTTAAAAAATAAAAATAGTAAATATCAACATTTAAGAACCAATGCTAAAATCTGGTTTTAAAAGGCATCTGTCACTACCTATCCCATTTTTTATTGCCAGAGGTAGAAGGGATGTCTACTATATAAGGGCTTACAAAACCAAATTGAAATGTCTAATTGGTGTACCACTCATGCGAAGAAACATAACAAAGTCAACACAACTCAAAGAAGTGAGAAAGCTTTCCTCCCTTCTGAACGTTCCTTCAGAAACTCCAGGTCTACAACAAATAGAAAACCAAACAGCTGTCACAGCGACAGCCACTACTAAAACAATGTACACTGCTCGACTCTATTATCAGAACACTTCTTTCAATCATTCAAAAACTTCAAATCCCAGAAAACGATTGGGTTACATATCAGACTGCCAGTACACACTAAGAATTACAGTTGTCCAAATGCTTTATTCAGATTATTAAGGAGTCAGCCAACAGAGGACATATAAAAACATATTTTTAGGCCTAAAGAGCTACATTTAATTAAAAAAACAAGCTAAACACTGAGAATAACGTCCAGAGCTATACAAAACTACAGACCTAAGAAGAGGATTCGACTAAGAGCCAAGAGAAAAAAAAAAAGTAAAGCTGAAGAAACTCCATACACCCTGAATTGCTGGCAAACCTCAGGTCTAAATTCAAGGATGGATAGAAAGCAATAATTTTAAACATGGATCCATGGAACAAGTCATCTATAACTCTTTAAATAGAATGTCAAAACAAAACAATTAATTGAGAAGACAAGGTTTCCTAAATTCAGCCAGTGTTAAAAGAACACCATTTATGGAGAGAACAAGTTGCTTTACTTGGGGAAATGGGCAGATAGAAAGGAGCCTCAACTGAAAGAAAGGCACAGATGGAACAGAATATGAGTCACAAACAAAGCAAGCCCTTTTTCAGTTGGCTGTTTGGATTTAGCTGTTCTGGAGAATCAAAATTGACACACTCTGTATTAAAAGAAGTAGTGTTAGAATTTCAGGAATCTAGTTATTTTGTCCCTCTCATTTCTGAAAGAAAAAAAGAAAAGGATTTCCACATCCTTCTGTCTCCTTCCCTAAACTGGGGTACGTGCAATACCATCCTGCCTTGAGTATTTGCTAGCCAGCTGTAAGACTCAGCACTGGCCCAGCGCGGTGGATCATGCCCATCATCTCAGCAGTTTGTGGGGCCGAGGTGGCCGATCATGAGGTCAGGAGTTCAAGACCAGCCTGGCCAACATGGTGAAACCCAGCCTGGGTGACAGAGCGAGACTGTCTCGAAAAAAAAAAAAAAAAAAAAGACTCAGCATCAATCCACAGAACATACTATGAGGCCCAGGAAAACCAAGGTACACCTTGAGAGTAATTTACAAATAAGTAAAATAACATATAAGCAGACCAGAGGTCTTATGTAGTGACCACAAAGTAGTATATCAGTAATCTATGACAAAATTATCCGAACAAAATTAAACAATGTTAAAGCTAAAAAGCTCAAACTGTAACATGAGAAACAGACTAGAAATATAAAGTGACTTTAGATCGTACAAATTAGTGTCAGAATAAAAATGTAAAATCAGCTCTCTTAACTTTTGCTGTGTTTATTATTTCCATCTTTCAAGCTAAACTCAATTTCAGTACCTTTTGAAAGCAAAGTCAGCTATCATTTCTTACTACTGCTACTTTTTTAAGGTAATCTGCATTTTTAGCTCTGGCTATTTTTAAGATTTTCTCTTTACCTTTGTCAGTGGTTTCATTACGTGACTCTGTAGAGTTTTATTTGCAGTTATCCCATTTTCGACCCATAGAGATCACAAAATCCATAGCTTAATAAATTTCCTGTGTTGTAAATTCTCAGGCATCATCTTCTCAAACACTGTTTTTGCCCCATTCTCTCTCCACTCTCCTTCTGGAAATGCAGCTGCATTTAAGTTACCTCTTTACCAAATGTTGTATGTCTTTTCTCTTTTCTATATTTCTTGAATCTTTCATTCTTCCATCTTTTTGTATGTCTTATGCTGGTTTGTCTTTCAATTCATGAATCCTCTTTCAACTATACACAAGCTATTGTTCACTGTATCCATTAAAGGTCAGTGGGTTATTTATCTTATTTTTCAGTTTCTGAAACTTTCATTTGGTTCCTTTTAGTTTTCCATTATTTTCCAAAACTCTTAATCTTTTCTTTTAATTTCTTGAACATGTTATTCACGCTTACTTTATAGTCCCATATGTTTCTCTTGTCTGCTTCTTCCTTGGTTTTCAGACACCTTTTATATTCTCTTACACTTGTGTATTCTTTATCATGTGATAGACATTTTATATGAAAAGCTGTAGAGATAATTTAAAATTCTAGAGGATGACATCTTTCTTCAGAAAAATCTCATTCTGCTTCTAATAGAAAGTCAGGTTAGGGTCACCAGCAATCTCAAATCACCTTAATCTAGTTAGGAATTGAAGTGGTTCAAGGATGGGCGTCTGTCACTATCAAGGCTGGTCTATTTTCAGTTTATCACTTCTCATTTCCAATTCACCACTTGGCCTATACTATCACCCTTTGGGGTCTCCATTAAAGCTGAAGGGTGCCTGAACTCCAGGTTTGGTCTTCCTAGCCTCTTCAGTTGATTGATAACTCTGATCCTAGCCTCTCTGCTTTTAAACCACCTCTTTAGGAATCAGCTGTCACCTTGAAGGAAGAAAAAAGTCCCAAAGATAAAACTTACCCTTCTGGACTTATGTTTTTTTTTTTGACAGATCCTGACTACAAAATTCCTCACTGTCTTAGTAGTTCTTTGATGAATTCATAATATTATGTTTTACTTTTTCTTTCATGTTTCTAGTTGTTATCAGTAGAAGAGTTGATCCAAAATAATCTTATCTACCAATGCCAAAAGCAGATTTTGCCAGCATTCTTTGTATGCAGGCTTATTTGCTAACAAATCCTAAGCTGTAACTAAAAGCTGAGAAATAAAATGAAATGAATTTTCTCTCTCTCTCTCTCTCTCTCTCTCACACACACACACACACACACACACACACACACACACACACTTCCAGCCACCAGAAGAATATTAAAGAACATGAGAAATGAAACATATCCCCTAAAATCTAGGAAGAATGAAAGATGTTCAAAAACTATTTCAAAAATAAAACAAAAATTACAAAAACTATTTGGCAACTCCATTTCAAAACTCTAAAAAGATATATCTGAAGCCACTGAAGATGAACAGGCTCATTTATAAGGTCCAAAAAATAAAATCACATTACGTAAAGGGAGATGATTGAAATAAAGATTATTTTAAATTACTCTTCCAAGCATCATGGCAAAAACAAGTCTTGCACCTAAAACATAAAACTAAAAATGTAATAAAATTAAAATCTATACTTGAAGTAGTCACAACATAATGTTTGTGCAGGATAGACACTGCACAAAATTTAATGATATATGGAGCCAATTTGATAAGTCTTAAAACACATAAGAGATAAAGTACAAAGTCATAAAAATTGCTTTAAACCCTTTCAGACTCTAACTCCTAACTAGGTGTAAAGCCAAACCAAACAAAATTAAATAAAAACAAAATAATATTAATAAAATTAAATCTAACATTAATTTTCTATGATGGATGATGTTATTTTGCTAAAACTAATCAATCTCACCCAAGACTATGGTACTAACTACAATGCTAGAAATTATTTTGAGTCTAGTTAGGACTACCTCACCAGATAACAAATGATGATTCCCTCTATTTTCCTCAACTTTTCCCCTATCTGAAATACTGTAAAATGGACATCATAGAAAATGATATAATGTATATCAATACCTCAATTGATATAAATGGATGATTTAAAGATTAGGTCTATTCTTTTACCTCTGTTCTTTTGATATTAAATGGAAACAATGAAAACTACTGTGTATCAGTATAAATGCAAATTAAATTCGGGCACTGGAATTGAATAGCTATTGTTGGAATCTGTGTCCTCACCCAAATCTCATATTCAATTGTAATCCCCAGTGTTGGAGGTGGAGCCTGGTAGGTGATTGGATCATGGTGGCAAAGTTCTTATGAATGGTTTAGCACCATCCCCGCTTGGTACTATATAGTCAGTGAGTTATCATGAGATCTGGTTGTTTAAAAGTGTGTAGCACCTGCCCACATCTTCCCATGCTCCTACTCCGGCCATGTGACGCGTGTGCTTCCCCTTTGCCTTCTACCACGATTGTACTTTTCCTTAGTTCTCCCTAGAAGCTGAGCAGATGCCAACATCATGCTTCCTGTACAGCCTGCAGAACCGTGAGCCAATTAAACCTCTTTTCTTTGTAAATTACCCAGTCAAAGGTAGTTCTCTATAGCAATGTAAGAACAAACTAAAGCAGGTAGTTTATCCAAATCATAAAGACATGCTTTTTTAGACTTAAGCATGTAGTAGGCTCCCTCTAGCCAAAGATAAAACAATTTGAGCATAAATAAAAACATTAACTGCAAAGGACTAAAACACTTTAAATATACATATAATTGTAAGTTAACAATGATACTCAAGGGGTAAGTCATTGGTTATCACAAGAAGATGTAGGAAACCAATTATGGAAACTAACAAATAAATGAAATGAAAAATAACCATAGAAGCTTTTAGTTTACCATGAAAATTAAATACTAAATTTTAAAATGCTCACAGAGCTCTCTGAAAACTTTTTGATATCTCTATTTGGAAAAACTCTGATTAGAAACAAAATGTAACTCAAGGTTAATGAACTGAAAAAGAAGGCATATAAAACTCTAAAGGATTGACTACACTGCAACCTAAATCTATGAAAGGAGATCATCTGGGCAACAATGGGAACTCCAAATAGCAGAATTGATCATTAAAAACATTATAATTCAGGCCACATGTGATAGCTCACAGCTGTAATCCCAACACTTTGGGAGGCCAAGGCAGAAGGATCACTTAAGCCCAGGAGTTCAAGACAAGTCTGCCCAACACGGTGAGATCTCATCCCTACTAACAAAGTAAAAAATAAAAAGTAGCCAGGCATGGTCGTATGCAACTGTAGTCCCAGCTACTCAGGAAGCTGAGGTGGGAGGATTGCTTAAGCCCAAAAGTTCAAGGTTACAGTGAGCTGTGATTGCACCACTGCACTCCAGCCTGGGTAACGGAGTGAGACTCTGTCTCAAAATAAGTAAATAAAAAAAAATTTTTAAGTAGAAATATCATGATTCAGAAGGACCAAAGAAAAGCTTCATTTGCTTTCCTCGGCTGTACTACTTTCGCTTCTGCCCCCACTCCTGTCTGCATCTTTCACACCCCATAGATACTTTTATTAGACATTTCATTTTGTGGATGAAATAAGATTCTCTACATAAAATAATGACAACAGCCTTAGGTAGATTTGTTTGTTCAGTAAATGATAGTTTTTATCATTATGATTAAAGGCAATGACAATAAAAGCAAATAATAAATAGAATGATGAAATAGAATGCTTTAATCTGGAGAAGCTATTTAAAAGAGTGTGTTATTCCCTAAGAATCTATTTACAACTCAGATGGAAATATCTGTTGAGTTTATTTACTTCCTGAATAAACCACTTCCGGGTCAGGCGTGGTGGCTCATGCCTGTAATCCCAACATGCTGGGAGGCTGAGGTGCGCAGATAATGAGGTCAGGAGATGGAGACCATCCTGGCCAACATGGTAAAACCTATCTCTACCAAAAATACAAAAATTAGCTGGGCGTGGTGATGTGCACCTGTAGTCCCAGCTACTCAGGAGGCTGAGGCAGGAGAATTGTTTGAACCCAGGAGGCAGAGGTTGCAGTGAGTGAGGTCATGCCACTTCACTTTAGCCTGGTGCCAGAGAGAGACTCCATCTCAAAAATAAAAAATAAAAAACACTCCCTCAGAAAGTTCAGCATTATTCAACTCTAGGCCTACCACAGGGACTTGATGTCAATGGGTCCCTTATTGAAAACTGCTTTCGTAACATTACAATATTTACTGCTATGGAATATGTCATACCTAACACTGGGTATATATAATTTAATTTCCCAACTGCCCAATTCAAAACAAAATTGCTACCATAAGTAAGGATCTAATATTCAGCTGTAAAAAGTAGGACTATTCCCTGCTAATGGTTAACAATAATGTTTTCAGTTTTTCACTAATAAATTAAAAAGCAAAGACTCAATTCCCATCACGAACAAGGTAATGACTCTGAAACATTTCATGAGCTACTTAAATATACAAAGTCTGTAGACTTCCATCAGTCAAGTACATCATAAATCATAAAAATCCTTTAAGTACAAGGACATCCAAACTCATTTTCCAAATAAAAATAGTAGAAACTCTTATGAGAGAAGATATGTTTCCCTGTGTCCAATTAGCTTGCAACTACAAGTGATTAAAGATCACTTTGTAAAAAGAAAATAACGAGTCATCAATTACAACTTGGGAGTTATGTGACAATTCAATACAACACAGGTATGTATAAAACAATCATTATTCCTTCGTGTTTCCAATGATGGGTATATATACAATGAGATGAAAAGACTAAAATCACAGGGTATGTATACCTGTTGTTGGAAACATGAAGGAATAAATTTAATTGGTTTTCCAAGAGTTTACAGGATGGGAGTAAGCAATTCCAAAGGAAGGAAAAGTAGAAGATAGAATTAGCAACACATCAATTAAAAACATATTATTAATTTTATTCCTGAACTCTGGAGTACATTTCTTTCTTACATCCCTGTGTAAAGTAAGTATGAACTAGAACATCCTCAAAAGGGCAATTTTGAAATATCCAGCAAATGTTTAAATGCACATATGCTTTAACCCTGCAATTCTACCTCCAGTAATCCTACAGGATTGCAAATATATATATACACACACACACACACACACATATATGTGTGTGTGTGTGTGTGTACACAATAATGGCCATTGCTATAATGTTTATAATAAAAAGGAAAAACTAGATACATCCACACCATGGAATACTGTATAACCGTTCAAAACAATGAAGTAGTGCTATACAAAGTTACATGGAAAGTGATATATATTACTAAATTTTAAAAAGTTGTATAACATCATATTTAATATGATTTATTTTAAAGCAAATCACACATATGCTTGTAAATACACAGAAAGTGTTTGGAAACAAGAAGCTCTCAAAATTGTTACCTCTTTTGAGTGGTGCTCAAAGGGAGGCTGGATAGAATTGAAGGCCATTATCCTAAGCGAAGTAACTAAGGAATGAAAAACCAAATGCCACTTGTTCTCTCTTATAAATGAAAGCTAGGCTATGTGTACACAACAGAGTGGTATAATGGACACTGGAAACTCAGAAGGGAGGATGCTGAGAGTGGGGTAAAGGATGAAAAACTATCTATTGGGTACAATGCACCCAAAAGATACACCACTATACAATTCATCCATGAAACCAAAAAACCACTTGCACCACTAAAGCAATTGAAATTTTAAAAAATTATAAAGGGGCTTTGAGAGAGGAGTTTTCTGGTTTTTGTTTTAACAATGAACACTTATTACTTTAAAATGAACCATCCTTAAAATTCTTAACTCTGCATGAGAGGTATCTCCAAGTTTACCAAGTCTCCATTAAATCCATGTCTTGAATTCTTCTCTCTCTGATGTAAAGCCTTCAAATTTAAAGAATCTAATTTATATAAGCTATTTAGCAATCCATCTGACAAGTTAACCTAATTTTTTTTTTTTTTTTTTTTTTTAAGACCGAGTCTTGCTCTGTCGCCAGGCTGGAGCACAGTGGCACAGTCTCGGCTCACTGCAACCTCCACCTCCCGGGTTCAAGCAATTCTTCCACCTCAGCCTCCGAAGTAGCTGGGACTACAGGCGCGTGCCAAATGCCCAGCTAATTTTTGTATTTTTAGTAGAGACGGGCTAACCTAAATTTAAACTATAAAACAATAAAGTGGTTTAACATCTAAAGCACTTCATAATGGTTATTTCCTCTATCTCACTCCCCCGTTCCCCAAAACATCTCATTCCCAAAAAGGTGGGTAGGAGAAAATGCAAACATATGTAAATCTTCTCACATGTTCTATAGCGCCCGCCTGTCCATTACTGTATTCTCGGTATCGGCCAAGCATCTGGTCCACTTGTCGCAGGTTCCGACTGGTATCCTTGAGAAAGAAAATGGACTGAATTAATTACTCCAAATAATGTTTTTCCCAATCAGTCTTAGTAGCATGTCAATAAACTAAGTCAACAGTTTATAAAATGTACAACTTATGGCTAAGTTGAATATCAATGTACTTCAAACATATTAAATCTTCACACCACTGAGAGAAACTCAAACTCAGCTGCAATTTACTAGTGTGAAATCTGAAGCACATAATGTACATCCACATTCGAGGCTCCCTAATAAGTCAGCAACAAAACCATAAATACTCAGAATCAAAATTTTAATTTGTGCCCCTCAACTAATTCACACCCTCTTTATAGAAAAGGAATCCTGAAAGAGTAAATCTAATAGACTGTGAGCAAGAGAAAAAAATCATTAAGATCAATGTTATTTCAATTATTCTTTTACCTCAGAACTTGATGAGAAGGAAAAAAGTATCCTTTAACCTTAAGCCATTAAACAACAAATTTTAATCACAATAGAAATGGTTCTCATCTAAATATGCTAGATTTCACCTGAGAGGTTAATCAAGGTATTTCCTTCAAAAATATATACTTACTAATGTGTCTCATTGTTGGGAAAGTACAAGAATTCATACTTGAAAATGCCACTGTTATTTTACTTTACTTACTTTTCACTTACTTTACTTACTTACTGATGAACAAGGGTATTGCTCTGTCACCCAGGCTGGAGTGAAGTGGCATGATCATGGCTCACTGCAGCTTCAGCTTCCTGGGCTCAAGCAATTCTGCTGCCTCAACTTCCCGATTAGCTGAGATCACAGGCACACACAACTATGCCCAGCTATTTTTTTTTTTTTTTCTAATTCATGTATAGACAGAGTCTAAGCATGTTGCCTAGGCTGGTCTCAAACTCCTGGCTCAAGAGATCCTCCTAAGTCAGCCTCCCAAAGTGCTAGAATTACAGGTATGAGCCACCATGCCCAGCCCATCATGTTACTTTAAATGAATGTAAAAAGGATAGGTCTTCTGATTTTCAAATCAAAGCATGGCCTCGCCATGAGAAATTATCCTCTTCTTATCTAGGCATACTAATCCAAAGCAATTAAAAGCCAAAATCTATGCTTATCCAGGCTAAGGCAAAGGGAAGGGATTAATGAGTAGGAAATAAATTCTAAGTTTTCTTTTTTCCCATATAGCTATGCTAACCTTCCCTACCTCTTTTCTAAAGCCCTTTCTAAGAAAAGGAAGCAAGCTGCCTCAACTCAAACCTCCAAATACTGGCAAAAATTAGCATCTACATCAAAATGGCATCTCTTTATTTTCATCCACAAATAATCTACCTCACCAACACATCAGCAATGTCTCTAAAGGCACATGCCCACAAGAAGCTAAACTACCATCATTTCTACTGGTTTCACTCTCAGAATATTTTATTTGGAAATGCTGCTTTATCCTAAAACACTCTCCACCACCTATCATATATTTTGAATATCTTTACTGACTGACATAGGCAAAATAATGGCCTTCAAAGATATCCAAGTCCTAACCCCTGCAACCCGTATTTGTATACCAAACATGGCAAAAGGGATTTTGCAAATGTGATTACATTGAAGACTTTTAGATGGAGTTTCTCCTGGATGATTGGGTGGACCCAATGAAATCATAAGCATCCTTAAAAGAGGAAAAGGGAGGCAGGAGAAGTAGAATCATAGGATGTGAGAAGGGCTTGACCCTTCCCTGCTGGCTTTGAAGATGGGGGAAGGCGGCCACAAGACAAGAAATATGAGCACCCTCTAGAAACCAGAGAAGGCAAGGCAATAGATGTTTCCCTCAGAGCTTCCAGAGAGGAACACATCGCTACCAACACTCTGAGACCCAATGAGACCAGTGTTGATTTCTGATGTAGAAAACTTTAAGATAACAAATTTGTGTTGTTTTAAGACATTAGCTTTGCAGTAATTTGTTACAACAGCAAGAAAACTAATCAACTGACAAACTAGTAAGCAGCTCAAACTATTTAAATTCTATTAAATGCAACCATTGTGAAACTAACCTGTAAAGTACTTGTTATAGTGTTGACCTTCTCGGTAACTTCTACTGTAGGAAGACTTCGTGTTCCCCTGTGAGTTGATCTGGCAGCCCATGCACTCAATCGGTCACGATAGCGGAAGTGATCGGATTCGCTCGATGATTCTGCCATTGATGTACACAAATCCTTCAAAATAAATATAGGTCAAGGTTAATGAAACAGTAAAAAGCCTGAAAATAAAAGACTAATACGTTTACTTTTGTTCTCTTTTCTGTGTTTAACACATTAGTAATTTTGCAAACTGTAATTTCCACACACATAGCTTCAAAATACAAGAAGTCATTTCCCCATGTAATTCTCCCCCCTTCGTTTTCTCTGCTTTAAGGGAGCAATTCCTCAGATATAATTTCAGTCATGTTTACAACTCCAACAATAATAATCCCTTAGATTCATGCAATGCTTCCGAATTTTGAAAGCATTTTCACATTTAGTACCTCACTGAATCCTACCAACAACACTGTAAGGTAGATGAGGAAAACAGATATTCTCTAAAGTTAGGACCTGTAGGTATCGTAATATTCGTCTAACGTCCATTCTACTATAAGAGCACAGGTATAGACACACAGCATGACCTATGATAAGACATTCTCATTCAGTGTACATTGACAACTCTCATGCACCTTGATTGAAAATACAGTAGAATTAAACCAATGCTGTAAAATGGTACAAATTCTACAATAACAGATACCTGAGAAGATACCATCTTCAACATCTCCACCAAAATAGAAAGCCAGAGATCCTGAGTATATGCATCAGTAGATAACTCTCTAAACATGCTTTTCTCTCATCCTTACCTCAATTTTCTATTTAATGCATTAAAAAATTATTTTATGTAAGAGAATCTCAAAAGTTTCAGGAAACCTTTTAACAGAAGTTGAAGAAACTAAATAAGTTCATAACAAAGAAGCATCAGAGGAACTCAACTGATCAAAAGTGAAAGTATACTCAGCATCCCAATAATTTCATTTTCTACTTAATGGTGGGGTAACTTTATTTTAACATTAATTGCTAGAATCTTTCTATATGGCCATTTTGCTGGGTGATTAAATATAGTTTGATAAAATATTTCTTGAATGACAGAATATCTTAGACTTCCAGGACCTTTATTTTGAATGCACCTGGAAGTACATTGACCATGTATTTAAGGAGAATATAAAGAGAATTTGCCAAATGTGTACATGTCCTGGGGCATTTAATGAAAGCAACTGTGTTTTTAAAATATTAGATGAAATATAACTAAACAAATAAATAAACAAGCAAGAACCCTTGCCTTAGTTTAGGGTTTTTTTTTTGTTTTTTTTTTTTGATGCAGCGACTGTAGTTTCATTAAAAAAAAAAAAGAATCAATGAAATAACCGACTTCTTCACACTAGCTAAGACAGAGTTAGAAACATGCTGTCAAGCACCCATGCTTCTCCTCTGCCCAGGGCTCTTTACTTTCTTCCGCACCTGTCTTCTGGAAACTAGATTGAAGTTAAGAAATCATCAGGCAGAATAAAAAGTTAATATTGAAAAAGACAATGTGCTTACTATAATAGTTGTTAATGAGAACAAGGAACCAAAAAACTATCTTTGAGAACTTGATATTTCTGAGTATTAAAATTTTAATAATCATCAGTTATTTGCAGACAACTTCACCAGATGTAAATGGCATGTCAGACACTTCTGATACATAGACAACTTGAGTTTCAACATGATTCAAACTAGTTATAACTGAATTTTGGGGAAAATATTTAAGCTATAAAATAGTACTGACTAATAAGGTAAACATGCATGTATTTACCACCAAGAACTAATAAATATTATCATTCTGACATATGTACATATGAGAGTTTTTAGTAAAATATTTAGAACACTGTAAATAAAGTGTTAGTACCTTCCAACTACCCCCTCTTCAGCCAGTACTACTCCTGCCCCATTTTCCCAGGGATAATCACTAGCGTGATTTCACGTATAACTCTCCAGCCTATATTTTTATACTTTTCCCGCAGGCATGGGTACCTCAAAGTTTTTTTTTTTATAGAACACACACTGCACTGAATTGATAAATATTAACAAGTAAAGATATGGAGGCATGTGAATTTAAAGCAGAAAATCTAATTGGTATTCAATAAAATTAAGAACCACATAAACTATATTATCTCCAATTGTCATATAATACAAGAAGAAAGAATGATCTCTCACTTATCCCCAGTAGGATTACATACTTTTAATAAGACAGATTCATACTTTCTAGCATGAGTTTTACTAGTACACATATACAAAGTCTTCAGCTATAAATTTCAGTTACTTTAAGCAATAAAAGATGTTCAGACTCCAGCATCTGATGGAACTCCTGCAGAGATATCAAGATTTAAGGTGAGATATCTGAGAAATCTGCATGGCTTTTTTTGAGCATATGAAACATTCAGCAACTATCTAAGCACTTTAATCACGTAAGTTTCATAAATGTTAAACAAAGTAAAATTTTAAAATCTCATTATAATAAAAAATAGAAGTTAGATTATTTTCATTGTTGATAAAAATCTGGTATTGTCTTCCACTGCTACTTGACAACACAAGGTCAAATACGACTCCCATAGCTAACTGACAAAGCACCTAACTAACCCCTCATGCCACAATGCAAAAGGCAGCTGTGGTGGCAGAAGTCCATCCTTACCGAGAATCATCAATCTATCATCAGCCAACACCACTACACTGCAGACACAGGATTGATGGAGGGAGAAACAGATAAGAATGGAGTGGCTGTTCACTGTTCATAATAGCCTAGACTTGGAACCAACCCAAATGCCCATCAATGATAGACTGGACAAAGAAAATGTGGCACATATATACTATGGAATACTATGCAGCCATAAAAAAGGATACATTCATGTCCTTTGCAGGGACATGGATGAAGCTGGAAACCATCATTCTCACCAGCACAGAAGAGAAAACCAAACACCGCATGTTCTCACTCATAAGTGAGAGTTGAACAATGAGAACACATGGACACAGGGAGGGGAACATCACATACTGGGGCCTGTAGTGGGGTGGGGGGCTAGGGGAGGGAGAGCATTAGGAAACATACCTAATGTAGATGACGGGTTGATGGGTGCAGCAAATTACCATGGCACATGTATACCTATGTAACAAACTTGCGCTTTCTGCACATGTACCACAGAACTTCAAGTATTAAAAAAAAAAAAAAAAAAAATGTAGTAGCCACTGAAGTTGGCAAGAGGCTCACACCACATAATCAGAACCTACAGTAGAATGCACGGAGGGCCATGAAAATCCTGAGAGCCCCTTAATACAACTGACTCAAAAAGAAAAGTACAAAGCAGCAAGTGTCAATTATACACTCTTCTTTTGTCATTAACAATGTATTTTATACTATAATTAAAAATTAATTTTATAAAAGAATGGCAAATAGTAATATCATTGGCATTAATGAAAACTGACCAGGTCTCTGAAAATATTTTCCTCAATTGAAGTTTACCTATTAGTTCTTTGCATACTAATAAAAACATATTGAGAGTGGTCACATAAGAAAAAAAATATTCAGGGCCATGAAAAAAACATTCAACCCAATAATCTAAGAAATATAATTTAAACAATGAGATGCTTTTTTAGACTATGTAGTTGTTTTCTTTTAAATGATAATGTCTATGGTTAGCTAGGTTGTAGGGAAAGGAGTACTCCTACACTTTCCTAATAGGAACATGTAAATTTGAATAACATGTCTGGATGTCAGCAGGTAATAAGTATCAAGAAGAGCTTATACCTTTGCCCTAGTAATTACACTTCCAAAAATTTCTCCTAATAAAGTCATGTAGAATACACACAGAAATTTATATACAAGAATATTTACTGTAATAGAGGGAAAATAAAAACAACTCAAATTTCAAAATACAAGAATGGTTAAACTATGGTACATTTATACAAAGAACACAGACATTAAAAACCCCGTTTCTGAAGAACCCTTCATGACAAAGCTTGGGTTGAAAGTATGAATTCCAATTTCATAATAAATGTTATATGTTATCTGGATGTCTATATAAATTACCAGTTCTAAGGTTTGAATGTCCTCTTCAAAATTCATGTTGAAATTTAATCCCCAGTGAGGCAGTATTGAGAGGTGGGACCTTTAAAAGGTGATTGGGTCAGGAAAGCTCCTCCCTTATGAACGAATTAATCTATTCATGGAGTAATGGATTCGTGGGCACTGGTGGTTTTGTAAGAAGAGAGACCAAATACGTATGCTTGGCGCCCTCACCAGGTGAAACCCCATGCTGCCTCAGGACTGCAGAGAGTCCCCACCAGTAAGAAGGTTCTCACCAGATGCAGCCCCTCAACACTGGACTTCTCAGCCTCCAAAACTGAAGGAAATAAAGTCCTTTTCTTTAAAAATTACCCAGTTTCAGGTATTATAAGCAACAGAAAATAAGTGAAGACAACCAATGTATAAATTTAGAGGTATGGGAAAGGATAGAGATAAAGAGGGAGCGGGAAAAACAGAACAAAAATATATTTACTATCCAGAGTTTATAGCTGATTTGTGTTTTCGAAAACATTCCTGCATTTCATGAATTTTCTACAATGATTTGCATTAATGTATAATCAGAGAGAAAACTACAATGTATACTTAAAAGAAACAAAAACAAATACAAAGATCTCTTCAGAGATAGCAGGTTAATAGGCTAACAGCAGATTAACAAGCAGTTGACTTGAAAATTTTGATTAAATAAAAGCTCTATATTCAGAGCTTTCATTTTCCTGGTAACTGTGTCCTTTTCCTCCCTGGCAACGAACTTCTTGACCTTATTTCCCAGTCCCCTGGCATCTATCTAGGTAGGGCTATGCCACTAGTTCTCACCTACTAATGAGCTGAAGAAATGGGATCACAGTGCCATTTTCTACTATTTCATACTGAAGAGCATTTGCTGACCAAAGGAAACATTTATCATGAGTTTAAAGAATTTCTTTTAATTGTATATTATTTTCTTTTCATAGTTTTACTGAAGGACGGTTACTAAATTCAAAGATGACTCACTTAAAGAAACATTCTAAATATTAGAATGAATGTAAAAATTGGAGGATATAAAAATGTATTAAGGTATACTCATATCACTTATGCAATCAAATTCTACTTTGGAAAACAAATTAAAAATGGTTCACAAGTTATATGTAATCACTATTATAATTTGAAGCCCAAACAAGAATTATTAAGACTAGAAGAAAAAAAATTTATGTATGCTCAAGGAAAATCTTATTTTAAAAAAAAATTTTTTAAGTTCAATTAGATAAGAAATTTATAATCATTATCATAAGAAATTTCAGCATGACACACTGATGAAAGAAAAGGAAGAACTGCTAAATTTGAAGAATGACTAAACTCTTTAATAGCAATTTAAAGAAACATAAATACCTAAATTCTGATTAAAGCTGAGAAAGTTATTTCCTTCAATTGGAGAAAAAGGCAGTAAACACTCTTCTGCAGCTTACTACCATCTGCTGGTGCAACAAAATTTCTTATTAACAAGAAAACAACAATATTTGTGCTGTCTGCTTTTCAGACATAAGCTTTTCCCAAATCTCTAGAGAAGACTAAGATGGGTGACCTTAGGAGAAAGTCTCTGGAATCTTAGAGAAAGCTCTGGGTCTGATATTACCATTCTTAAAATAGCTTATTTAGCTGCTCCCAACAAATCAGTATTTAAAGGCATAAATATTGTCGCTTCTGTCTTAATGAACCTTATAAAGGAGAAATACAGCCACCAGAGCAAACAACGAATCCTCATCAGTTCACTCCTACTGAGGATCTTTCCATCTAAAACAAATGCCCATATGCAAACTTGACTACTGCAACTGGAGAGAGTAAAACAGCATTCAACCCTTGTAATAAGAAGATTGGCAATGAGCCTTTACAAACTTAAGCCCACCTCTTTTGTTATTTGACCTAAAGAGCCATCAGGTTGTCTTCATTATAATGATGCACATTTGTATGTATGAGAACGGTAATTTATTGATTCTCAAATCTCTTTTTCTCTGAGCTGGTTTAAAACAATTAGGATTTGCAAGCTGTTCCATGAAAGATAAGCACCCAGCATCAGGGGTGATATTTCACAAAGCCTGACTAGTGCATGTTAAGTAGGTGATTGCTTCTGTGGCCTCCAAGTGCCTCAGCTATCCCTGTCCAAGGTAACTGTCCTCAAAGAAGCTGTTCAAGGTAATTATGTTGATATTTAGGGTGGTAAGAGAAAACTGGGAGTGTATTTTAAGCTTAATCATGAACAAAGATAAAATTTTAGAAGTATTTCTCACTGTTTCTGATATGGTTAGGCTTTGTGTCCCCACCTAAATCTCATCTTGAATTGTAATTGGCATAATCCCCATGTGTTTAGTGAGAGACCTGATGGGAGGTGACCGGATCATGGGGGCAGTTTCCTCCATGTTGTTTTCATGATAGTGAGTTCTCACGAGCTCTGATGGTTTTATAAGGGGCTCTTCCCTCTTCGCTCCTCACTCCTCTCTCCTGCCACCATGTGAGAAGGTCCAAGCTTGCCTCCCCTTTGCCTTCCACCATGATTGTAAGTTTCCTGAGGTCTCCCCAGTCATGTGGAACTGTGAGTCAATTAGACGTCTTTGTTTATAAATTAACCAGTCTCAGGTAGTATTTTTATAGTAGTGTGAAAAAGGACTAATTCAGTTTCAATAGCTGTAGCACTTGAGAGCTTTGCCTCACCCTTCAAGTTAAAAAGTTAACAAGCCAGCAAACATCACCATGTAGAAACAATGAACAATTGTACCTGTCTTCTTTACATCAGTACTCTTCTGTAACTTCATCGCCTCAAAGTCTTTTGGTAAATTTATAAAAGATCAAAATCAACTGTCCAGTCCACCCGTCAGTTCTGTTAGTTAACATAATATACATTAGAAAACAGAATCAGATACTTAAAATGATTTTTCATCATTTAATGAATTGTCACTACATTACAGATGAAGGATGAAAGTAAATACATAAATAAATCACAGTATTTGATGGGAGACAGAGTTTTAAACATGCTATAAATGGTGAGCTAATTAATACAACAAAGTCCAGGGGGAGTCAAGTTAGGATTTTTCCACTCATTTTAAAGGATGCATATAAGTTTGACAGATGGCTAAGACAAGGAAATAGGAACCAATTAAAAACTGTCTCAGAGAAAAGTAGAGAGGATCCAAATAAATCGAGCTCTTGCATCCTTCTACTAAAAAAAGTTCTGCCTTCATCTGATTTTCATGCTACTGTTTCATGGGTTTGTTTTTTTTTTAATGATTCTATTATCTTGAAAAGAAAATAAAAACATTTTAAAGCCACTACTGTAACTAAAGAAAAAAAAAACTAAAGAATCCTGAGTGGGGAGTGACATAGTAATGTTGTATTTGACCGGAGCGTAGAAAGTTATCACAAGACAAAAGTATGCCAGGTTGCAGGGTCATTTATTATGCCGGCGACCACAGAGGACTCACGTCTCTCCAACCTGTGGTGGCAACAGGAGGGTGCCACGATTTTTTATACCCGAAAAACCACCTTGGGAGTGGGGGTGAGGGGCAGGGATGGGGATGAAAAGGCTTCAGACATTCCGAGGGCTAGTGGATTCTGTAAATTACCTCCTGGGCAGAGATGAGGGCGGGGGTCCCCGGACATTCCAAGGGATGGGGACTTTTGTCATTCCGTTGGTTACTTAAGTGGTTTACAGAAGTCAAGATAAACATTTGTTTACACATTATCTGGTTAAGGTGGAAATCACAGACCTTAGTTACTTATTACAAGTCGCAGGAGCCAAGATGGCATGGGTTAGGACTGCTTGCCTGTCACATTAGGGCCACAGAGAGCAGTTACTGATAAGAAAAGGTAAGCAGCTTTACATAGTTTTGAAGACAAACTAACAGTTCTATTTACAGAGGCCAAGGACAGTAGTTATTGTGAGGAGAATGGGGCAGCCATTTCAACTTATCTAAAAACAGTTTTGTATTTTATAAAATAGTTTTGCTCCGGTTCTGGCTCTAGGCCAGCACAATATCACAGTAATACACACATCAACAGAAGGACAGTTGAGAGGCTGCTGTAATCTATTAGATAATGAATGGTGAGCACCTAAGACAGTGGCAGTGGAGATGAAGTGCAGCAGGGATGAATTAACTATGAGGACAAGATAAAAGAGTAAAAGATAAATCACAGGTTTCTGGTTTTGGTAGCTGAATGGATCCTGAACTATTAAACTGAGCAAAGAAATCAGTGAAAAGAAAAAGCTTTTAGGAGAACATGTGTTCTAAATTGAACTTGTCTAAGCTTTAGTTAGAAGAGAGGATCAATTTGTGTTCCGTGGGAGGAAGTATCAAACTAAAGATGTCTAATAAGCAACTGGATATGTGAGTCTAAGGAAATATTTGATAGTCATCAGTATGGGGGTGGATAAGGCTACCAAGAAAAAAAAAACACAGTGAGAAAAAAAGTAGAACCAAAGAAAACCCCTGAGGATTCCAACATACAAAAGGCAGACAGGGGAGGTGGCAAATGAGATAGAGAAGAAACATGAGAAGGAGGTGGAAAACTAGGGAAACTGAATAACATAAGTTAGGAAAAGACGGGTTTCAAAAAATGTGAGGAAAAAACGGTTACAATTTTCCAGTTATCAATGAATTGAATTGCCTCTCAACTCCAAATCCATTCTTCATTGTCTGCTCTTTGCAAACAGAGCTGAGGCCTTTAAATATTTCTCCTTTGTAGCTAGCACAATGTTAAGCTTTGTCATGGAAAGTGTTAGAAGAGTTTTTCTTTTTTTACTCCAAGACGGTGGAATGCAGTCATTGTTAGCGTGCCTCTACCACTTGGAAAAACAAAATAGTGTGTAGAAAGTTATGCTGTGAACATTTTTCCAAGGAGCGCACAGGAACTTAGAAACACTGAAAGAAACTACAAACCCTTTGAAAGAAGCACTGGGCAGTAGTCTATACCATAAACCAAAAGGAAAACTGGGCATCACCAGAGCGTGAGTGGGGACAGACTACCTATGCGACACACTCTCCCACTGGGAAGCCGAGCAATCCAGGCCACGGGGGATCACCTTAACCTGACCCAGCACTGATGCTGACTTAGTGAACAGTGAGGTTTTATGAAAAGGAGCAGCATCAGACCGTGTACACTCCCAGAACCAAGCAAGGACAAAGGGAAGTCATTCCTGATCCTACCTCACAGGGGACTTCATCTGAAGTCTGCTGGTTAACTCAGGCAGCGGTCACAGGTTGAGAAAAGCTCCCACCTGAGACCTGTGATATAATCTTTAGTGGGGACAAATGCCTTTGGTCAGAGGGATGGGCAGAAAGTGTGCTACAGCTGCAGGCACAGGACCTGGGTGCTTTTACTTCGCAGGCTGACCAGGAGGGTCACAACCTAAAAGCTGGTTTATGTGTCAGTTGGGAATGCTTATGGCTTGCGACAGTTTTGAGAGCTGCCTAGAACCCAGGTAGCTGCTGTGGGTATGAGACCTGCCTTGCCAAGTCCATGGGAGCTGAGTAGGGCTTTCTGTCACCTGCTACTCTACCCTCCCCATGTGGATTCCTCTGTGCAGCACATGTAGCTGCACTCCTCCCTGGAACATTACTCCTGTGACCAGGGAACTGCCCTCTAATCCCCATTGGGGCCACTGTTTGCACTCGAATGTGGGGAGCCATAGTGCAGACATACTTGACCCAGCCCCCACTAGCTTTGCCCATCCATCCACTCTGGTAGCCTAACACGACAGATAGGGACTTTTGCATGCTCCATGGCCCCGTCCACTGTCTGAGACACCAGAGTACCTCCTCTAGGTAACACGAGGCAAGCACAAATCCCACCACTGATACTGCAACTGGTGCTTTTTTGCAAGCACCACCTCCAGGCTGGAAGCAAACTGGCACAGCCCATTACAATATCTGCAGGCACATCACAGTGCTCAGAAGGACAAAACTTTTTGCATGACCTCAGCTACCACCATTGCCTGCATCACCCTGGTTTACCAGGAGGCCTTGAGTTTGTCCATAGGCCCAGTACATCACTGCTACAGCTAGCATTTGAGAAAGCCAACATGCTAAGGCTATTTATAACCAAGGAAATCTCACAGAGTCTATGTCACTCCTCCCACCCCCATCAGAGCCATGCTGGTACTCATTGTTGGGAAACTGGAGGACAGTTCGCAGTAGTGGATCCCTTGCAGACATTCTCCAGCACCAGCCTACAGTGTGGCAGCCCCACTGGGTGGCTAGACCCAGAGCAGCAGCAAGATTCACGGGAGTCTGGGCCTCAGAAACTGCTACTCCTAGGGTAAGGGGAATGTACCACATTAGGAGGGCAGACACCCTATCAGATAAAAAAAACTGGACTGTAGGCCCTGAGTCCCTGAACTTTCCACTTGTGGGAAGTTTCTTCCAACAGAGGCACAGGTGCAGTGCTGGGCTCAGTGGGGAAAGTCTGCAGCTCTACCCCAATCGTCAGGCAGCCCCAGTGCTCATGAAGGATCCTGAAGAAGGGGACTTCTCCCCCTCACTAAGCACTGCAAACACAGCTGGGGCTTCTCCCACAAGAGCATGGCATGGTGCATCTGTAGACAGCCTTTCTATAACACTTCAGGGTGGCTGCATCCCCACGAGAGGAGTGTCCTCCAGGTTCAGGCTTGCAAAAGAGCTAGAGTCACAATCCCCTTCCACATGGACGAAAAGAGGTGACTGTCTGATCTGAAAAGCTGGAGTACTGCATGAGGAGTGTGACCGGGATGTGGCTTACTTTCCTGGTGGCCCAGAATGACAGATGTGGTGATTCCCTCCCTTACCCCCAAAAAGACCTCAGTGCATTTCACTGAGATCTTCCCCAGCCATCTCTGTCAAGGCTGTGACCTCTTCTCGCCACTGGGGTACCACATTTACCCAACTGCTTTAGTTGTAGCTTTTTTTCACCATGGGCACCTCCTACTGGCCTGAAGCCTGAACTGTTCAACCCAGTGAATAAAAGAATGGAAAAAAATTTTCAAGTGCATACCACTGAGGAATAAGATAAGCTTCATAAGACTTCTACCATTCCAGCCCTACAGGAGAGAGTAAAGCTGCTTACATACCCAGCACATTGCTACTACAACCAGCATCAGAGAAAGCCATCACACAAAGATTTTCTATAACCAGGAAGATCATACAGAGTCTTTGCCATTAAAAGTACCCAAAGCCAAAACTAGCTGACAATCAACTATAAACATTAAAGTCACATCCTCAAGGCTGGGGCGGCGGGTGGGGTGGGGAGTTTTTAAAAATCCCTGTCCAATCAAAAATGATTCAAAAATAATTAGAAGAAACAGTTCTACTCAAATAAAAAGGAAACCAGAAAAATAATTCTGGCAATATGAAAAAACAGAGTTCTATAACACTCCCAAAAGATCACGCCAACTCTCCAGCAATGGATCCAAACCAAGATGAAATTTTTGAAATACCTCATAAAAATTTCAAAAGGCTGATTATTAAGTTACTCAAGTAGATGAAAGGGAAAGGTGAAAACCAACATAAAGAAATTAATGAAACAATTCAGGACATTAATGAAAAATGTTCCAAAGAGATTGACATTTTAAAGAAAAACAAATTGGAATTTTTGGAATTGAAAGACACATTTAGGAAACTACAAAATGCAGCGAAAAATGTTAACACTAGACTAGATCAAGAAGATGAAAGAATTTCAGAGCTCAAAAACAAGGCTCTCTAAGTAACCCAATCAGACAAAAAAAAAAAAGAAAAAAGAATGAAAAGGTATAAAGAAGGTCTCCAAGAAATATGGAATTATGTACAATTGTTAAACCTAAGGATCACACATGTTCCTGAGAAAGAAGGTAGATCCCTGTCTCTCACCATA